CCCCCCCGCCACGGCCGCAGCCCGGCGGGAGCACCGGAAGGAGGCGCCGTCCAGCGGCACAGATCTGCGCTCGGGCAGGGGAGGGAGGATACGGGCGCGTCTATATAAGCCACGCGCGGCTGCACGATCCGCCCTGAGCTACAGCCGCTGAGCCCGCGGAGCGCGCGGCGCCGCAGACGCCGCCTGCGAGGACCGGGAGGGGTGAGCGAGGAGACAGGAGGCGGAGAAGCAAGTGCGGGGTGGCGCCCGTCCACCCTCGCAACTCTCCTGGCTCCCGCCGGCTTTCGGAGGCGGGCCCGGGCTGCGGCAGCCGCAGAGCCTCGGAGGCCTCGGAGGTGAAGCCGGGCTGCGGCGGCGTGGGGAGGCGGCTGGCCCGGCACGGGTGGGCGCGGCGGGGCGGCCACCGCCGCGGTGAGGTGAAAGGGCGGCTTGGCATCCTCGGGGCGGGGCTCTCGAGGCAGGTGTCCTGTGCGTTTTCCTCCAGGTCGGCCTCCCCAGAGGCACCTGCAGAAGCGGCCGCGGCAGGTGTCTCGGCGTCCGGAGGGCTGCGGGAAGGGCGGGGGTCGGTGCCCTCGGGGTGCTGAGTGACCGCTCCGTGGAGGCGCCTCTCGCGCAGGTCCCTGCGGGGACTTGGGATCCGCGCTGGCGTGCCTGGGGCCCGTTATGCCCTTGCTTTGGGGATGCTCCTAAGGGGAGTGGAATGGGTACCCCCGATGCGCGGGGGTGAAGGCGGTGCAAGGGTCCCTGACGGGGGCCGTGTCGGGCTCGCCAGGATGTTATGGGTTAGTGCAAACGAAACAAAACCAACTTGGGGCGCTCGCAGCTTGAGAGAGCACCTCGCTACAAATGGCCAGTAGCGATGGACTTGGTTTGTAGGCCCCAGAGCAACCCAAAGGAAGTTAGCGTTTTTGAAGGAGCTACTCATCAGTTAGTGAATGAGAACTTTAAACAAATAGTGTGTGTTCGGGATTTTCTTTTAAATGTCGTCGTTAATGATTGGGGTTGGGGCTGGTGTTGAGGAATCATGTAAAGAGGTTCCAAAGGGGAGAGCTTATTTTTTTGTGGCATCCCGTGACCACAGAAATTATTCAGAATGCGGATTGCTGTCCCGAGAAGAGAGGCACTCAGAAGCCATTGCCTGATTAGCAGTTCTTCCTCCGTATGTGGAAAACTGAGTTTCTGGGAACATCCCCCATATTGTAGATTTTGCCTGCGCAAAGGCACTAGTGCTTGGCACTAATTGCCTTAAAAGTAGTGAGATGAAGCGGTATCTAAAGCACCCTTGGGTGTCGAGCTCACTTCTGTGGAAGAGAAATTTGAGGGAGTGGGTCCAGACTTTTCAGGGAAGGTAAAGCCTGGATGTCCCTCTCGTCCTAATTTACTTTTATACTTTTTTTTCCCCTTCCCTCCTTCAGCCTCATCTGTTTCAATGGTGCAACTCTCTTCATCTCCTTCTGGTTACCAGTCACCTTCAGGCCATTCAGAGGAGGGAAGAGAGGGGAACATGAAGTCAGCCAAGCCCCAAGCGAACCACGGTCAGCATGGGGAAAGCCAGCGGGCCCTCAGCCCCTTGCCGGCCACTCTCAGTTCCTTTGCTTCTTCCCAAGCATATGAGACCTATATTGATAATGGACTCATATGCCTTAAACACAAAATTAGAAACATCGAGAAAAAGAAGGTAACTTTTATTATTATTATTTTTAATCCAGCTGGAGATATATATGTATATATGTGTGTGTGTGTGTGTGTGTGTGTATATATATATATATATATATATATATATATGCACCATCTTAAATAAGGGTTAAGGAACTGACATTTTGGCTTTCAATCGGGGCTCATAGGTATTACTTCTTAAAGATTTAACTCACCTTGGGATTTATCTGGCTGAAAACATATAAGCAAGCCACATATTGGCTATATTACACATTTTCTGTTTGATTTGTCAGCATCACTGAATAAAAATATTCTTTTTGGTAAAATTATGCATGCTACTGTTGAAATACTGGAAGAGCTAGCGACTTTAGACCAGATTAATTCCTTGAGTGTAGTATTTTCTATTCATAGATTGCCTGTTTTTTTTTTTCCTAAACTTATTTTCCTTGTGACTTTCTGCAGCAGTTGATATTGCAGTATATCTGCTGCAGTCCTTGGACGCTTTAACGATGGTAAAGCCAGAACATGTTTTAGCACTAATTTTTGTGTTGCTAGGTGATCACTTGAGACTGGTAGGTGAAAGCATTGTAGAGAGCCTTGCAAAGAGACTCAGGAGGTATAATCAGTTTAACTGTTACAGTAAATGCTGATGTAAAGGTCTAAATCATTCCTCATTTCCTGAGTCATGTAGCCTGTGAAACAATACTGCACGTTGCTTTGTTGTGTCGTGATTCCCTTTGCTTGTGATACTAAGGCAGGTGATTAACTAACTGTCTGCATCTAGGAACTCTTAAATATTTTTTTGCCAAGACCTAGTTAAACCTTAGGAAAGTTGCTTTGAATAGAGGAGCGTGAAGAGATTTTTAAGAGTTTGATTGACTGCTTCTTTTCCCTTGTGTTTTTTTTTTTTAATTTAAAAAATAACACAATAGGAAGGTAGTGAAGGTAGAGAAGAAGGGCCAGTTACTGGTAGCTTCTCTGTAGCCCTAGCTCGCACTAGTTGGTCTTTGAATGCATGTAGTTGATCACAAGTGTGATAAGGTGAGTGTGCCTGGGTCAGCACAAATTCTCTGTGACTATGGGAAACTAGTCAAAGCAGGATCTATTGATGGCAAATCATTAATGTCTTTCCCCAGGTGGAGGAACTACATACACAGAGGGTGCCAAACAATGTATACACATTTTAAGAAAGGACAAAACTGTATGAAAATTGTAATACTCAATAAATACTGATAAAAACGATGAATACAAGTCATGTGTATACATTTTTTTTGGCAGCACCGGTATATGTATACTTATACTCTCTAGCTTAATTGTACGACCTCTTTGAATACCTGTCTGACAGTACCAATGCTTTTGTTTCAAGCTCCTGGGAATGCATTTTAAAGCTATAAAGCCAAATGGGAGGAGCCGAAACATTGCTTTGAGAATACCATAGTGAGTCACATCATGTTTATGGAGACAATAAGTGCAATTTATTTGTCATATATTTACTTAAATGTCAAATTTAATATGAAAAATAGCTTCAAGTTGAGGCTACTATAATACTACAAAAGAAATTATTTACATTTACATACTTCCATTAGGAAGTTTCCTATAAGTCAAATGCCACATAATTCAACAGGTAATTAATTGTTTAAGCATGACAGAGCAGGATTTATCAGCCTCAGCACTATTGACATTTTGTGCCAGGTAATGCTTTGTTGTGGGGGGCTGTCCTGTGCATTGTAGGATGTTTAGCAACATCCCTGGGCTCTACCCCCATGATGCCTTCTCACCTCCTTCCCATCCCCCAACCTGTGATAACCCAAAGTATTTCCAAACATGGCTATATTTTTTATATATTGCCTCTGGTTTAGCACCACTGGGTTAGGGGCTTATGATCGAGTAGTTAAGTCCCTGTAGTCTAAATACAAATAGAGACTATGAAGAGAAAAGGGTTTTATTACTGCCAGACTTTTGTAATTCCAGACTAGTGTTATTGTGTGGAATATTTTTCCCCTGAATGAAACTCATATGCAATTGCTGCCTGCCTTGTAGTAAAGTGGTATTTTTGCAGATTGATAGCTTACTTGAAGAACTTTGTTTTCTTAAGAAACAAAGTGTAGTATTTAGTTTATTTGTTGCAGAATTCTATATCAGACCTTAATAGTTTTTCTTTTGTAGCTCAAACTGGAAGATTACAAGGATCGCCTGAAAAATGGAGAACAACTTAATCCAGATCAATTGGTAAATGATTTATGATCCTTTGGTCAGACTTGCTGGTTTCCTTTTTTTAATAAAACTCTAGGTGGATTTGGTGAGACTGAAGATTTGATAGGCCAAAAAAGATGAGTGACATCTTAGCCTTTTTTTTTTTAAACCTTACTATAAATATTAGATTTTACAGCTTTTTAAAATGTTGTTTAACGTGTCCATGCTATACCTGGTAATTGTAAACTTTATCTGATTTGATGGAGGAGAGTTTTTGCAATATGGAAATTAAAAAAAGTTTCATTGATGTTTGCCATTTTGACCCGATCACATCTCCTGGCTAAGAAGGAACCAAATTAATCTAAATGGTATTTGATCTAGCTTGTACAACTATTGTCTTTTATCTTTTCATCTAAGATTTTTGGTTGTGTATCATAGATACCGGCATTCAAGGACTTTTCCCTTGCCATATTGACTCTTCTTCACTGGCCTTGAAGTTTTGCAATGTAGTAAATTATAATTTTGCTAAGGCACAGATTTGAATTGTGTGAGCTCTGATAATTATGTGCTTATGGAACTGGTGAGAGGACTTAGCTGGACATTCCAGCATTTCAACATGGCTTTGTTTTGAAATAGTCATGGTATGTTCAATAACTTTTAAGGTGGTAAAACTTTTTTGTGTGTAAATATCCTTGAAAGAAGTGTTCTGTTACAGTAGTATTGTTGATTTTGGAGAAGTAGGGGGGTAAGGGTGTGTAGGTTGGTGGTTCTTAGGCAGCTCTCTAAGAAGGCCAGGGCTGCTAGATTTCAGAGCTCCAGACAGGCAAACTTTAATCTCAATATTTCATTACCATTTTCATGACCACGTGTTGCTTCTATAATACTAACTTTGATTTCTCTTTTGAAAAATGTGCTGATAACTACCAGATTTATATTACCAGTAGATGAGTCCTCTGAACTCTTGATTTCTATGTCCAGTTGCCTATTTGACATCTCCTGATTTCACTGTGCCCTGCCCCGCTCCCCAGCCTGTACCCACCTTTAATCTTAGCTATGTCAGTTAATGGCTTGATGGACTAGAAACCAGAGTTGCCCAAAATCCTGGAGAATGTCTCTTCTTTCTCTTCATATCTTACATCTAGGCCGTCAGCAAGTTTGATCAATTCAACCTTCAAAATAAATCTAGAAACTGATCATTTTTTATAAATTCCACTTCTGCCATCCTGGTCCACACCCCATCATATTTCCTTTGCATCACTGTAAGCTTCCTCACAGGTTGTTCTGTTCTTCCTCTCCAAGTATATTCTCAATATAGTGCCTCAGTATTCCTGTTCAAATGCAAGTCAGATGGTCATTCCTCTGCTCAAAGGTCCCCATTGGTTCCCATCAGGGTGGCAGAATGTCTTTACTGTGGCCTACAAAGCCCTACCAAGTATGCTCTCCACTCCTTTTACATCTTTATTGCATTTCCAATACTTCTGTCCTTTGTTAGCTTCAAGCCAGTTACACTGGTCTTCTTGCTGTTCCTCAAACATCCTATGCACACTTCAGGGCTTTTGCACATGATGTTTCTACTGCCTGGGATGCTTTCCCCCCAAATGTTTAAATAGCTTAATTCCCTCCTTCCTTCAGCTTTTAATTGGAAGGTCATGTCAGTAAGGCTTGTCCTGACAGCACTGTAACTCCATTTCCCCGTTTACACTCCTTAGCACCTTTCCTTGCTTTAAATTTCTTCATAGAAGATTTCTCTGACAAACTGTAGTTTTATGTTGTTTGTATCTCCTTCCCTTACAATGGAAGTTTCATTAGAAAATCTGTTCACTGCTGTTTTCCTAGTACTTAGAATAGTGTATAGCATATAGTAAACATACAGATTATTACATATACATTTGCTAAATATAAAATGATTGAATATTAGGTTTTTTAATGTGATTAAGCATGTAGTTTGTGGTACTTCTGAGAAATAACATTTCCTCATACAAACAGTATATATTTAAGGTAGAAATTTAGAAAATGCAGGTAAATCAGAAGGAGAAAATTGTATAATCTGACCTTTCAGAGAACTGCCATCAGTAGTGTAGTATTTAATTAAGAAGCTCTAAGTTTAGTTTTTAAAATTGATAATAATTCACATAGTTCAGAAATTAAGAAATATTATAAAAGATGCAGTATTTTTTCACCCTGTCCTTCCTCTGTTCAGTTCTCATCTTACAAAATAATGATTGCTAATAGATTCTTATATACCTGTCCAGTTTCTTTAAGCCTATATAAACAAATATTTTCCCTGCCTTCCCTCTTGCCATTTTCTATAAAATTTACCTTAACATAGATAATATGGGGGCCTTTATTTTTGCTTCTTCCTTTAAAAGAAAAATAGACTTTAGTTTTTGAGCAGTTATCCGTTCATAGCAAAACAGAGCAGAAAGTATAGAGAGTTCCCGTGTATCCCCTGACCCCATATATGCACTGCCTTCTCCATTATCACTCAAAGTCCATAGCTTACGTTAGGGTTCATTCTTGGTGTTGTACACTCTATGGGTTTGGACAAAGATATGCTGACATGTATCTACCATTATAGTATCATACAAAGTATTTCCACTGCCCTAAAAATTCTCTGTGCTCCACCTATTCATCCACCCCTTCTTTTTTAAATATTATTTCAGTGTTTTAGTGTTTCCATAATGCATGGTCTTTAAAGTTTGGTTGAATTGTGCTGTGAAACTATCTGGGCCTGCTTTTTTTTTTTTGTGGGGGTGTTGGAGTTCTTTGAAAATATTCTCTACTTCTTTCCTTTGGAAATTTATATGTATAGGTTTCTTTTTATTTTTTTGGAGTCAACTTTTCAAAAATTTTCCTTGAAATTCACTTATTTCATCCCATTTAAAAAAATTATTTGCACATATTGGGTCAAAATAATTTTTTATAGATGTCTGTTTCTGTGTTACTTTCTGCTTATTTCTAATTTTGTGTGGTACAGTTCCTCAGTTTACTCTTAAGTTAGCTAATGGTTTTTTTTGTTTCAATTTAAGCCAGCTTTTGGATTTATTTTATTTTTTTCTCTTATTTTTCTGCTTTTCTTTGGTCTATGCTTCATTTTCTAACTTTGAGTTGAGTGCTCAATTCATTTGTTTCCCTTTTTTCCCACTGATATGTATTTAAGGCTGTGACTTTTTCTTTAGGCATTGCTTTAACTGTAGGTGTGATACTGTATTTTCAATATTTTTGGCTAGAAATTTTGTAATTTCAGTTTGTAATTCCTCTCTAACCCAATGGATATTTGTAATATTGTAAATAAAGCTTTCTGTGACCTGCATGGTTAGTGTAACCTCTTTTAGTACTAACCGTTAAGTAACCTGTCAAGACAAACCTATAGACTACCATAGACTACCAAGATTTCACTAAGATTGCAAACATAAATCTAGATTTCTCCTTTTAAATAGTAAGGAAATGTCTTAATGATGTTCTTTAGGGTTCCATTTGTAACTTTAATATCTATTTTGGTTGTTATCTGGATTTGAAATGGACAACCGAGATTTCAGGTAAGTGCTTGAGCAAAAGGCAAGGGGCATGTGATGCTTTCGGCTCCACTGAAATTTTTATTGCTCAAGAATTAGCATTTGGTGCCCATCCATTGTTGCTAAACTCTGACAGATTTGTAGTTAAAAAAAATCACATTTTTGTATGAAGAATGTTTTGGAGATGGTAAGTATGGATGTAAGGAGACTAGATAAGAGTTGGCTGTAGTCTAGGGCAGGTTATGGGAGCTGGTACTTAGGGAGTGGAGAGGGATTTGAGTAAAGTAGCGGGATTTAAGACATAAGATCAACATAGCTTGGTAACTGGATGTAGTTACCAAGGATGTAGTTAGAGGGAAGAAGAGTGGTTTCCAGGTTTCTGGCTTGAACAGTTGGATAGATGGCAAAATCATTTATTGGTCTTGGAAGCACTGGGGGTGAAGAAGTTTTTGGGAAGGTGGGATACAGTGCTTGATTTTGGATTTTAATGTGTCTGTGAAACATTTGGTGAGTCTAGTAAGTATTTAAGATCCAGGCCTGGAGCAGAAAGAGGTTTGGTTTACAGAGAAGTTTTACATCCCTGTGAGGATGTATCTTTGAGGATGGGTCTTCAAAACATTGTTTCATTCAATGTCGTTTCATTGTAACGTTGATGAGGAAAAAAAAATTAATTCATGGCCAGGGCCACTGCCTGTGTGGAGTTTAAATGTTCTCCCTGTGTCTGTGTGGGTTTTTTCTGGGACTTCAGTTTCTCTCACATCCCAGAGATGTGCACGTAAAGTAAATTGGCATGTCCACACTGTCCCAGTCTGAGTGGGTGTGGGTGTGGGTGTGCCCTGCAATGCAAGGGCATCCTGGCCAGAGTTGGTTCCTGCCTGGCACCCTGAGCTGCCGGGATAGGCTGCAGCCACCTGGACCCTGAGCTGGAATAAGCAGGTTGGAAAATCATCATCTTACTTGTTTTTATTCATCTTTCTTCATTGTATGTGTAGCTCACATTTATTTCAGTATTTTATATTAGAAGTGTTTCGCGTCTTTATTTAGACGTTTGGTGATGTTTTTGTGGTCAGAAATATGCTGTAGGAACTTGTTTATATCAATTAACCTGTGGGAAATTCATTTCATTACACGTTGTTGCTCTTAAAGTCGCAGTTTCTAAGAACCTATTGACGATGTTAAGTGAAGACTTATGTACTATGGTTATATTTGCACATGCTTGGTTCTGTAGTTGGAAGGCCTCTTTCTACCTTTTTGTTATGAAATCTATGTTTCAAACAAAATGTTGCATATAAGTTATAATACATAATAAGGCAAGCATCAGAACCCACCACTTAACTCAAATAGTACATTACAAACGCTGTCAAAGCTCCTTCCCAGTACTTTCTCTTTCCTATAACTTGATCGTGAACTTTTTCCCCTCATTCCCTTGCTTTTATTTTAATAGCACTTGTTTGTTGCTCTTAAATCTGTTACAGTTGCTTTTTTGTATCTATAGTAAATGTTATACTATATATTCTGCAGTTTGCCTTTTTTTACTCACATTTAGGATTTTTATGTTGATGCAAGTAGCTCTGTTTCATTTGCTTTTCTCTTCTTTGTAGTCTGTAAATGGATATTAGAGTTGCTTGCAGTTATTTTTTTGGTATTCTACTTTGCGCAATGTTATATGTGTTATTGAGACACAGGTGCAAGGTTTTTTCAGGTTATACACTTATAGTGAACTTCATAGGTAAAAATGCCAAACTGTTTTCCAAAGTTATTGTACCAGTTTAGGCTAATACTGTTAGTATAATACGTACGAGGAGTTCCTATTGCTCTTTAGTATTATCAGATTGCTGTTTAAAACAGCTTTATTGAGGTATCATATATGAAAGAAAATTAACCCATTGTAAGTGTAGAATTCCATGAGTTGTGGTAAATTTGTAGAGTTGTGCAGCTATCATAACAATCCAGTTTTAGAACATTTTCATAACCCCTCCCAGTTACAGTTTGTGCCCTTACTTGCTTTTGATTTCTATAAATTTGTCTTTTCTGGATATTTCATATAAAGTCTTCTTGCCTCTGGCTTTTTTGACTTGGCATTATGTTTTTGAGGTTCATTTGTGTTATAGCATGTATCAGTAATTTATTTCTTTTTATTGCTGATTAGTATTTCTTTGTATGGTTATACCACATTTTGTTTATCTGTTTACCAGTTGCTGGATATTTGGATTGTTTTTATTTGGGGCTATAATGAATAATGCTGCTATATACGTTTGCATACAAGTCTTTATGTGGACATATGTTTTCATTTCTTTTGGGCAGATACCTAGAAGTGGAATACTATACAATGTTAATTATGGAGGTTTTACAATACATCTTTATTTTGTTGGACATGTCCCCTACCTTGTTCTGTTTCATATTAGCCCTTTGTTCTTCCATATGGATTTGAATTAGTGTAAGTCCCATAAAATACCCACTCCTTCTCTAATTATCTACTTTGTTCATGTGTGAAACCTTAAAAAAAAAATTTGTCCCTTTAAATTTATAATATTTGTTAAAATCTTATTTAATTTTGTCTGTTATAGGTAATTGTTTACAAGTCTTTCCTACCATAGTATAAATGTCTGAAAGTTGATTCTCATGTTGCTACATGTGTAATATATTTGAGTAGTAAATAAACATTGACAAAAATCCTATTGGCTCAGGGCTCTTAAAACCCACAAGCGTCTCTGACCTTAGACTTTATATTGTAGATAGGAACTCAGCTCTATTATTATTATTATTATTATTATTATTATTGATTATTATTATTATTTCTTTATAGCTTTAAAAAAAAAGATTTTATTGGGGTATTGGGGGAGGGGAACAGTGTTGGGGAATTGGGGAAGGGGACCAGCCAAGTTGTTGTCCTTCAACCTTAGTTGTGGGGGGCGCCAGTTGCCACCTGGCTTCCCATTGGCAGCTCATGGCCTCTAAGCTCAAGGTGCTGTGTTCAGTCTTAGTTGTGGGTGGGCGTAGCCACCATCCCATGTGGGAGTCAAACCCAGAGTCCTTGTTGTTAACAGCACACGCTCTATCCACTGAGCCATCCAGGTGGCAGCTCAGCTCAAGGTGCCGAGTTCAGTCTTAGTTGCGGGTGGGCATAACCCACCATAGAACAGGCAATCTTGTTGTTACACCAGCTGAGCCATCCTGCCACCTGTTGGCAGCTCAGCAGCAGCTCAGCTCGGGCACAGCGTCACTGGCCCATGTGGGAATCGAACCAGCAGCCCCATTGCTCAGAGCCTGCGCTCTTAAGCCAACTCTTAACCAACTAAGCCACTGCCGGCCCCTATTATTATTATTATTATTATTATTACTCAGATTTCTAGTATAAAAATTGAATTTTTAAATTTAACTTTATATAATTTCTACTAAATACTCTTCCTACTTTTTTGAATATGTATAGTAAATGGCTAAACTCATAAAGTCTTAAATCTCCTCTTGTTTTTAAGGAGTGCTCTTTTGACATAGTTGTACTTAGGAGTTCACAGAATCGATGTTTTCTTATCCTGTTTGGTAGGAAGCAGTAGAGAAATATGAAGAAGTGCTACATAACTTAGAATTTGCCAAGGAGCTTCAGAAAACCTTTTCAGGACTGAGCCAAGAGGTGAGTGTGTTTTTTTGCTTTTCTTGAAACCAGTGTAACCATTGATCTTGAAGAAAATGTCAGGGTCTAATAATGGTGTTTGGTTAGCATCCATCTAATTCCTGCCAGTATTTTATTGTGGATGGGGGTTGAGGATAGGTATTCCAGAATTAGTGTTTTCAGATTTCTGGAGCCTCAAGAGAACACAAATGGTATCTGCGTATGAGACATTGTGAATAAAATATTAGTTATCTAAGTGTCTTACTTCTGTGTGGAATTACAGAAATCACTGAGAAGGGGATAAAAACTATTTTTATGGATGCATTTATTAAAGTTGTTTTGGGATATAGGCCTGTAAATTTACATACTATAGGCGTGTAAGTTTAGCATTGTTTAACATATTAGGAAACAGAATTGGTAGACTCTTCTTGAGACCATGGCAGTTATTACCAGGAAGATTTATGATTCATGTTAGAATTAGTCTGGCCTCACTGCTTGTTAGGTTCTCTATGTTGACAATTCAAACTTTTATCTCTGACAAATCTACTCAAGAATTAATATGAAGTCTTAACCATTCATTAATGAGGTATTCTTCACTGTTCCAGAATCTTAGTTAGAAGGCCCTTTTTCTTATTTTGAATTTGTTGGGGAGCAGCCATGGTCATTGGTTACACATTGCTTTCATGCTACAATGGCAGAGTTGATTCTTTTAAGGAGAGCGCAGCTCACAGTGGCCCATGCGGGGATCCAACCGGCAACCTTGGTGTTATCAGCACCACGCTCTAACCAGCTGAGCTAACTGGTCACCTTACGAGGCCCTTTAAAGGTCATGTTCTAACAGTTGAGGAGATTTTTTTATGAATTGATTTCTGGGGTGGGGATCATGTCTCATAAGATAGTCTCTTCTCCGTTGTGGATATTTTCTTCTTGTATGGTGAACTGAAATTCTCTTCTTTGGCTTCCTCTCTTTACCCACCCTCCAAAAAAGCCAAAGCATCATTTCTAGGCTGAAGATATCTACCGTCAAAATCCTTGTAATACAGTCCCGAGTTGCTCTCTTTTGGATGTCTGCCTTAATTAACTCTCAAACATAGTGTGTAAATCCAAAATAACCTAGTATAGAGCCACTACCTCTGTTTTCTGGACACTTCTGTTAATGCAAATCTGAGACGGTATTAGCTCTTTTTTTGTCAGCCAAAGCATATTTTAACTCATCTTAATGCATATAACACTTAATTTTTGTACTTTCTGTTAATTCCACAGTTGTTAAATATTTCTAGGCTATTTTAGATAATACTTTTAAGTCTATTTTTTTCTTGTATGATTGACTCTCCACACCCCCTCCCCTTCCTAATATCTTAAGTTTATTTAGTTTTGGTCCATTTCACTATGAAAAGATTTTTCATATCTTCCCTCTGTTTGGATAGTTGTAATACTTACTTAAAAAACTTTTTATAATACTTAAAAAAATTTTATTAACATTCTTTTCTCAAAGTTACCCTATCAAATTTATTTTTCCATTTATGTGTTTATTTTTTCAATGTATGATGTTTTTTCTTTTTTTTGAAACAAAAACAAAAACAAAAACAAAACCACTTTGCATGTGCCAGGAACCTATGAAAGTCCACTTGATTTTTACAGCGATCTAGGAATTTTTTTCAGAGAAGGAATCTGAGGCTCAGAACAAAAGGAACTTCTTCAAAGTGACATGGCCAATAAGTAGTAGAGTGAAGTAGGGCCCTAATGACTTTTCACTCCTAAAAACTGTGTTCTTTATACCGTGGACATGATATCTATCTATTTACATGTCCTTCCACTGTTAATAGTCTAGAGGGAGCTCACAACTCCACCAAGTTTTGTTATCTATGAGATTATTTTTTCTTATTTGTATTGTGGATTTAGTTTTACTTTAAGTGAGGTGCTAAAGTATTTTGGAGTGTGCCTTAATGAATCAAGATCCCAAAAGTCTTTCTTTTGTCAAAACTTTTCTGTGATAGCCAGTTTTGCAGATTGTGAAACATTTTCTTCTTTCCCTTCAAACTAAAGTTGGAAGCCTTCCTGTTCGGGTCAGCCACATCTCCCTTTATTTTCATGATATGAGTGCTATCATTGGTGGGGATGTAGCATTCTCTGTCATGGTTCAGAAAATAAAATTTATTATTTAATACTGTTGGTTGATAGTAGTTTATACATCATACCTTCCCTTTGTTTCCAAGCCAGTCCTCAACTGGAAGAAGAAAAGGAACTGTAACCTGACTTCTTAGTTTCCACATGCCTTCTTATTTGAGACTTGATTGATTCAACAAATATTTGAGGTCCTGTCATGTGTCAGGCTCTATGCTGGGCATACGATAGATTGGTGAACAGCAGAGATATAGTCCCTGTCATCATGGAGCTGAAACCTAAGGGGAAGATGCAGATAAATAAAAAGATAACCATTTAATGTAATAGATACTTGACTAGGGGAAGTTCAGAGTGGCATGAACCTATAAGAACACCTAATCCAACTTTGGGGGGTGGCTAAAGAGAGATCTGAGGTAATCATGTGATATAGCCCTGAGATGCCCTCAGCATCAATTCCCTTTCCATATCACATCGTGAAACTTCCCGAAAGCATCTTTTATTTAAAGACTTGCCACCTGTATACTCTTTCCTTCTCTCAAGAAAAAACTGAGAATCCTGTGGTTTTAATAAGTGTTATTGGTGTTAAGTCCACGTTGAGGTCTTGGAAAAGCTTTTCTGAGCCATTGCCATCCTGAAGAAAAGATCCTTTCTCACATAACCCTTCACCAGTCTGTTCCTCATTCTCAGAATTTTTGTCTTCACCCATTGTCTCATTGCTGGTAGTAGCACAAGTCGAATGTATTAACTTTCATTCATACCCCCTAGAAAGGAATTAATAATACCATAATGAATCTTTTTCCTGAGTCCCCTGTCCCCACATCTTCACCTATTAGGATCTATGAATATACACATCTCTTTTGTCGAGTCTTAAATACTGACACTATGTCAAAGTAATTTAACCCGTCTATAGAACGGTTTGTTTTCTTAATCTTCATACTTTGGAAGATATCCAATATGATGGAAACATTACAATCAGAAAAACAACTATGGGAAGAAAAGACTTTTTAGGTTTCTTAGTGGAAATAGATGATACTTTTTATTGTTTTGTTTCTTTTTTTTTTTTTTAAATGGGAAGCCATATCTGGGACCCATGGATTATGTCAGACTTTAAGGTATTATAGTTCTGGGCTTTAGAGTAGACTCAGGGCTGCTCAGTATACACACACATATTTATTTGAGGGAAAATTTATGTTTCACTAATTTTGCATGTGTTTTGTCAGGTAAACATTGGAAGATACATTCCCATCCAGACTGACAGACAATTATGAAAATATCTCTTAATTTTACTCTTAAAACAAACCTGTTTGCTGTGGTTGTTCTTGGGCATTACATTTGTAAGACATTTTATTTTTGTTTCGTTTTCAATTCCTTAGGCTTTATCCACTCTTTGGTGGTAGAAAACTGACCATTTTAGTTTATATATTTTTGCCCTGGGACATGAAATTTAAAAATACTCCAAAACTAAACTGAAGCATTTTCTTATTAACATACTAAAATCTTTGTTCTAAAATGGCTTGATACATAAATATGAAAAAGTAAAACCTTGGGATTAATATGGACATCACTGATTAATATTCATCAGTGATGAATGATAGCTATCATTCATCATGGTGATATAAGAGGTATTAGATACAGCCTGGAGTTGGGTGTCAGATATTTGGGCTCCTTTGGCTCTGATTACCTGAGACAAGCCAGTTTATTACTCAGTGACTTCTTTAGCTGAAAAAGGAAGCAGGGTTAATTGAATTTGTCAGTTTCACAGTCAGTGTTATATATATGAAATTTATCATCTCAACTCTTCGGCATTAGACATTTTTAGACTACAGATTGCTAATTGGGGTGGTGGAGAGTTGTCATCCCTAATTAGCATTTGTTTTAACAGCTACTTAAAGCCCAGAAGAAGGCCCAGAGAAGGGAGCACATGATAAAACTTGAAGCTGAGAAGAAAAAACTTCGCACTATTCTTCAAGTTCAGTATGTATTACAGAACTTGACACAGGAACATGTACAGAAAGACTTGAAAGAGGGCTTGAATGGTGCAGTGTATTTGCCTTTAAAAGAACTTGACTACCTCATTAAATTTTCAAAACTGACCTGCCCTGAAAGAAATGAAAGTCTGAGGTAAGCTAATGAAAATATTTTCCTGAAATAGAACACATAACACTTGAGCTTTTTTAGTTATATACATATGGTGCCAAAAAAATGTATACACATTTTAAGAAAGGAAAACTATTAAAATTTTAATACTTGATATATACTGATAACAAAAGATGAATACAAGTCACATTTGACTACTGCAATTACAAGAGGTGCTCAAAGTGGTTACCATCAGCATCCAGACACCTCTGATTATGGTGAACTACTGCTTGAGCAACAGTTGACCAAAGTGCTCACTTGCATACATGTTTCTGGCACCACCCCGTACACACACACACACACACACACACACACACACACATGATCGGACAGTTAAGTTCGTGAACTCGTCCTAGAAAAAGTGTTACATACTTCATTGCTGAATATCACTACTGTCAGCTTTGAAGTAATCCCCTTGGGAAGCTATGCACCAACACCAGCGCCTAGTCCAGCTTTCAAAGCAATTTTGGAACTTTTTCTGGAATGGCCATCAGAGCTGTTGTTGTATTACCCTTGATGTCCTGACTGTCATAAAAATGTCTTCCTTTCAATATTTCCTTTATCTTCTGGTGAAGAAAGAAGTCACTGGGGGCCAGATCAGGTGAGTAGGGAGGGCGTTCCAATACAATTATTTGTTTACTGGCTAAAAACTCCCTCACAGACAGTGCCATGTGAGCTGGTGCATTGTTGTGATGCAAGAGCCATGAATTGTTGGTGAAAAGTTCAGGTCATCTAACTTTTTTATGCAGCCTTTTCAGCACTTCCAAAAAGTAACTTGGTTAACTGTTTGTCCAGTTGGTACAAATTCATAATGAATAATCCCTCTGATACCAAAAAAAGGTTAACAACATCGTTGCAACAGTTCTCGAACTTAATTGTCAGACCTCATATATACATATACAAGTGTATGTGTATGTATCTCTCTCTCTATATATGTGTGTGTGTGTGGGTATATATATATATATATATATGCACATATATACATATATATATATATGCACATATATACATATATATATATATATACATATATACATATATTTATTTAGTAGTTAAGAAAACATTAGTTTGATTCAGAATGTTGGTCAGCCTAGATTCTGATTAGGTTGGTAGACTATCTAGGAGGAAAGTGAATTTGAATGACCTCATTAACATAATTTATTGTAATGCTAATTTAAAAAAATGCCTGGTCATCACGTTTTAACCTTAAGTATTAACCATAATACTAATTATATATATTAAATTTTTTTTTTGTAATTATTTCAGACTGTTATATTAACAGAGAGCCTTTGCCTTCTTAATTACTGCTGTACGTAGGTAGAGGTAAACAAAATTGAACTTGGCCAGTTTCATTAAAATTTTGAAGTGAGAATTATTTGGTGTTCTTCGTGTGCTTTAAATAAATACTGAGAAAGAAATCTGATAATTTAAAATACAAAACCAGCAAATTGAAGGCTAATCAATTTTTTTCTCCTACAGCTATCCATTTGCTATTTTCGTTTTGATGGAATAAATCAGCTACTGAACAGATCTCTATGCTTTTGCTGTGTTTAGATATGCGTAGTTTATTAGTGTTGTGTCTGTTAGCCATGCTAAAGTGCGCATGCGTGTACACACACACACACACACACACACACACACACACACACACACGCGCACATTCTGATAGTCTACTCCATTCCTATTCTGATAACCTACTCCATCATCATTACCTATTTGGTGTCTTCCTTCTCCTGTTTCACATTAGTGGATTCAGGGAGTGTAGCTTACTTGAATATGTGAAATGTAAGTGAAACGTAACTAGAAAAATAAGCTGCTCTCTTTGAAGTCAAATGCAGTTCTTAATATTTTCATTCCACTCTTTCATCTAGGACATATGCTTGATAATAAGTGATACTGCATTGACAGCTTTAAGCTCTTTTTGGTTTATTCCTTAATAGCTGTTTTTTTGTAAAATATTTATTTTAGTTGTTTTGAGGAAAAATGCTTACATTTGAAATCCATAAATGGATAGTCATCTTCTAGAAAATTTTAATTTTTAATTTCCAAAGCATAAAAAGACAACATTTAGTGTCTTAACTGTTCATGGGTTATATTGTATAAATTGTACCATGATATATATAAAATACTATATACTGTATATATCCATTTATATGTATGCCTCTAACGCCACTTTGTTCTGCTTTTCCTTGTCAGTGTTGAAGACCAGATGGAGCAGTCATCCTTGTACTTTTGGGACCTTTTGGAAGGTAGTGAGAAAGCAGTGGTAGGAACGACATGTGAGTTTTCTCTACTCTGAACTTAGGCAGTAAATACTACACTTTATGTCTGGAAGTTTAGAATGATCCTGAGGCCTGAAACTGTGTCAGTGCATTGGAACTTACATGTCTGACAATACTATATTCATTGAGAGAATGATCTCTTTGTTTAGTTCTATTAAAAACACCTGTTATATAACTGCCCTCATTAAAATGGAACCTAGGGAGAGTTGTGAAGTGGAAAGTCACTATGATTTAGGAACCAGAGCTAGCTTCAACACTAGCTTGACCATTTGGGGGTCCAGTTCTCTATTCTGCATAGTTGTACCTGTTCTATTTAAGAATCTTACATCCACGTATTGCTAGTATCAAGGCTTATCGACCAGATCTGCCTAAGAAATGGCTTGGCTACATGTTGAAGCATTGTTGTCAGTTGATCTGGAAATGAGCTGGAGAGAAAGAGTTCCTTTGGCTTCCTAAGTAGACTTTGGTCAAATAACCAACTACAAATGGCCAGACATAGTTTTGTGTACTAGCTTAGGATAATGAAAACTCACTTGAAGTTACTTTTTGTTAATAGTGATTGCTTCCTGTTTAAAAATAGCTAAGTATGTGTAACAATCTCAAAATTTCTACGTCCTTTCAAGTTTAAATCACGGAAATTTATCTCTTGGTTCAAATGCAAAATGATGCAAATATTTTGGAAAACAGTTTGTCAGTTGCTTATGAAATTAAGTGTACACTTACTAGATGACCAAGCAATTATACTTCTAATACCCAAGAGAATTGAAAATGTATGTTCACATAAATATTTATACATGAATGTTCATACCACCGTTATTCATAATAGCCCCAAACTGAACACAGCCCAAATGTACATCAACTGATAATTGATAAACAAAACGTAGTATATCCATACAGTGAAATCTACTCAGCAATTAAAAAAACGGAATGAAGGATCCATCCATTCAATGACATGGATGGATCTTAGAATAATTAGGCTGAGTGAAAGAAGCTAGACAAAAAATGAGTACATTTTGTTTGATTCCATTTACATGAAATTCTAGACAAGACATAATCAGAATGAAGGGACACACATCTTTTTGAGCTGATGAAAATGGTCTATATCATTGTTCTGGTGGAAGTAACACCAACAATAATACAACTATGCTGTGTTGTATGGGTGAATTTTGTGGTTTGTAAATTATACCTCAAAGTTTATTTTCTTAAAAAAAGACAAAATCTATGTCATAGTACTCCTATGAAAAGAATAATAGACCTAAATTAAGTATGGGAACTCTGCTTAATTGGGGAATTATATTTTTAGTGGATGTTAAAAATGAAATCGGCTTTAGACCTAATTATGGAGCACTGACTTTAATATTCTTTCAAGCTTTTTCTTGATCATCAAAGAGTGATATGCTAGGAGTGACATAAAATAGAACTCAAGAGTAAAGTCTTTTTTTATTATTATTACCTAGCAATTTGTTTTTATTAGTTTCAGGTGAAGAGTAAAGTCTTAATCATGGATTTTATAGTTTAAAAATCCTTGAGATTATCCAAGATAGGGTGTTCTAATGGCTATGTTTGGGGAACTTTGACTTCTCTAAAGCCTTAATTACTTGGGGAAGATAGATTAATTGCTAGTTGTGATGTCTTTGGAGCATATGGAAAATAAGCCTTTTCTCTCAGCTCAGGGAGCATATTAGAGGCTTTGATTAGGGTCTCTGATTTTTAGTCATTTTTTAAATAGTGGAAATGGAAGCCCAGAGAAACTTAAGTGACTTGCTAAACTTTGGGATTCTGATCTTTAAAATTTATACTGATTCAGCATGATATAAAGATGGAGTGCATATTTACTTTTCATGGTATTGGCCAACTCTTTGAATCCCCTCTAATATAGAATGTTATAATGATATACTATAATTGGGATAAAATTATATTAGGATTTCTGTTCCAAATAATTTTCTGTGAACTATTGGGTTATATGATAACTAAGTCTTAATCACTCTTTCTTAGACAAACATGTGAAGGATCTGCTGTCTAAATTGCTGAACTCAGGCTATTTTGAAAGTATCCCAGTTCCAAAACATACTAAGGAAAAAGAATTATTATTGGAGGAAGAAATTCTAATAAAATCAGAGAAGAAAAAACAGTTATTGAAGAATGAATCTGTCGAAGAGCCAGGTTTGTGGTGATATCTGAAATTCTTTATAGTGGCTGCATTTTTATCACCTCACAAAATGAGTCAAATCAATGTGAAATGATTGCCTTATTTTAATTTGTTAGTTTCTACATGCATGGAAATCTTTACTTGCTGCAGGATAAGCCTATGTTTAAAAAACATCTCTAGGCTTTATTACCACGATTTATCTTGAATTAAAAGTGAACCTTAACAGAAACATTAGGTTATATACTTTGTTACAAGAGAGTACTGTACACTGTTAAAATGAGGCATTTATGGAGTTTGAATGAGCCTCTTTGTAAAACTACTAGTAGGATACTTACATTTAAAATTGTTTAAGATGTAAGTTATAGTAGAATCCAATACTGCAGTAGAACAAGAATGTAAATAATCTAAGATTAACATACTGATGCAGGGGAAAAAATTGCAAAAGTAAATATATTTCCAGTAAAGGAAATATACTCTTCAAAATTCCACTTTTCTTGGGGAAGAAATACTTTGAGTAAATGACACTTTTAGTTTAGTTTGTTGAGGCTGGATTTATTTAAGAAATATAACTTGTAAAGAGGTAGTCCAGGCTGGGTTCTGGTAGCCACTAGCAAGATTCAAGTTATATCTCCTATTCATTTCCTCTTCGTTTTTAATACTAAGTCCAGTGCTTCAGTATCTTCACTCCCTTCACCTCCTCCCGACTTAAAACTGGCTGTAGGAGGCCTCTAAGAGCTGTATTTCCAGCTGAGATGACTAATTTTTACCCCATAGGATTGGGACTGTAATTCCAATTTGAAAGAAGCCGAGTTTGTGGGCAAGAAGAGGTAGTCTTGTTTTCAATCAGAAATCAGTTTTTAACTGCAACTTGACTTTTAAAAAGTATCTTATATGAAGAGAGCTAGGAGCTTCAACTAGTCTCAGACCATATGCTTTTGACCAGCAAGCAACAGTGAGAATGGCTCCTGCTATGAATATAATTGTACTATTCTTTTTCTGTTATTCTTCTGAAATATGTTGCTGGAATAAATTATAGTTGTAATCAGTCTGAAAATGTACAGTTTACCTAGTATTCATTCAATATTCCATTTATCTTCCCAGAGTCTCTTATGGAACATGCACAGCCAGAGATACAACCACAAGAGGTAAGGTGCTGAAAGGTAATTTGCTGGTTTTGGGTTTTGAGACTTGTGTATAGTGTTGTGGTTAGGAGTCGGTACTCTGGTCCTAGACCACTTAAGCTTGGATCCTGGCTCTGCACCTTACTAGCTTAGTGACTTGGGGCAAGATATGTAGCCCAGCTGTGTCTGTTATCCTCATACATAAGGTGGGGGTAATAATGCCCGCCTTGTGTGGTTCTTGTGGGGAGTAAAGGAGATAAATTCTGAATCACTTAGAGTTCAGCCTGGCACACAATAGCTGCTCACATTAGCTGTTATTGTTGTTTTGGGCCCTTGTGTTAGAACATAAAGATGGGCTGGATTTTGCTCTTTCCAAAATTTACTCACATTAGTAATAGAAGAGGGTATCTGTTCTTTTTCTGAAATGACGATGAAATTCATAGAGGCTGAAAAGAATGGAAGAGGCAAAATCACAGTATTGTTTGATATAGCATAATGGAAATTTTAAAAAAAAGCTGGTAACTCAGGACACATAGGCAGAAGGTTAAACAATATACCTTTGTGTAGTTGAACTATCTTAATGTTTAATTGAGTCAGGTGGGTAGTCAGAAATACAAACTTCGCTACTTCAAAAGTAGCAATCTGTATTTGACTCACCTAAGACTGCTAAGAGCTGCACATCATGGTGCCATCTTTGCTGAATTCAGGCTCTTTTATCAAGATTATTCTGCCTCTACCAGTCAAATATAGATCGCAACTTTTGAAATATCAAAGTTTGTGTTTCTGTTAATTGAAGGAGAAGGAGTGGACAAAAAAGTAGGACAGTCTTTTCAAGTAGGATAAGGACAGAAGTCTTCTGTTAGCTCGATGGCTCAGACCAGTGGACATGGGAATACTATTGGGTTGTCAGAAAAGTCATGACGCATTTTTGCAATGAAAAACATAAAAAATATGTCATGACTTTTCCAACAACCCAATAATAGATTTCAGTATTCCCCTCAAGGTCTTCTGCAAATTTTGTGACTCAAGCACACTTTTTCTCTGGTCTAGTTTCTTAACAGACGGTACATGACAGAAGTAGATTATTCAAGCAAACAAGATGAAGAGCAACCTTGGGAAGCAGATTATGGAAGAAAACCAAATCTCCCCAAATGTTGGGATCTGCTTACTGAACCAGATGGTGAGGAGAAGGAACAGGAATCCTTCAAGTCCTGGGAGTCTCCTGCTAAGCACCAGGAGCTAGCAAAGCCTTCCGTTTCCTTAGAACAGAGGAAACAAGAGATTCCGAAGCTCAGATGCACTCTGCAGGAAGTACAGAATCAGCAGGACGTCTCCAAACCCAAGCCAACTCCTGGCCAGTGGAAGCAAGATGCTTCTAAATCCAAAGTAGGATACATTCAAGAGAAACCGAAAAAACAGGAGACACCAAAGCCTTGGCCAGTTCAGCGGCAGAAAGAACAGGATCCAAAGAAGCAAACCCCAAAGTCTTGGACACCTTCTCTGCAGAGTGAACAGGATGTCTCCAAATCGTGGACCACTCCCCTGGATAAAGAGCAGGATTCAAGACAGCCAGATGCTTCCAAATCCTGGGAAAACAATGTTGAGAATCAGAAACACTCTTTAGCACCACAGCCACAGGTTTCTCCAAAGTCCTGGGGGGTAGCTGCAGCAAGCCTCCTACCAAATGACCAGCTGCTACCCAGGAAGTTTAACACAGAACCCAAAGATGTGAGTTGATCTGTATCAGTCTGCTTCTGTCTGTGTTGGCTTAAATAAGAAGTTGTGGTAATGATAACTTTTTAGTTTTCTTAAAAAAAAATCAACAAAACCCATGTTATATTAATGTATACAGTATTTCACTTAACTCTACAATGCATAATTTATTGTTTCCCCTTGAAAATTGGAAGTAGACCCAGTCTGTCTTTGGAGCCTGACCTGAGATTCAGTTTCCACAGTGAGAAAAGACTGTTAATGCCAAAACTTTAATGACATGCTATGACATCAAAAAAGTGGGTAGCTGAGACAAGACAACAGTGTGCACAAGTGAGAAATGTACATGCATGTCACAGGGTAGGAGACTTGTTATACTATAGTTCAGTTGTTTTCTTCCACTTGGCGCGTGGGTGACTTTTTCTGACAGAAGTTACACTTTTCTGGATTCTCTTCTCTTTCACTCACTTGTAGTCACTCATTAGCTGGTACTCTTTGAAGAAGACATGGTGGTTGCAAATATTCCAGCAGCTGGGGAAGGACCTGAATTAGTTCTCCATTTCTGTTTCAAAATAAGAATTTTCTGGATATGGAAACTATAGGTATTAAATATTCTGGAATTAGGCTTTGGAGTATGATATTTAGTTCAATTGTAAGGCCTTATTCTGTTAATGATAACCTATTTCAGGAAGATAAGAAGGCTTATAACGAATAATGCTTGTACAATGCTAGTTAGTGTTGCCTTTTATTAAATTATACTCCATGTACCACTGTTTAAATGCAAACTTGTTACCACTTGGCTGAGCAATGTGAACTTTTTATCCTCCCAGTGTTCTCCATTTCTGTTTAGTTCCTGGCACTTCCAAGCCATTTTAGCCAAAGGTTTTCTGATAAACCTTTAGTCCTCTAACAGTGTGAAAAACATTTTGCTTGGGAAAATCAAAACATTGCATTTTATAAATAAATTACCCTACCTCAGTCTACCTAACGGGAAGAGAATTTTAGAGTTACCTGTCTCCCTTTGCTGTCCTTTCTTCCTCGTTTCCTCAAGTGCTAATATTAATTTTAGCTTCTTCCTGACCTTACAGAAGATTAATAGCTTTATTTCATTAACCAGATATCATCCAAAAGTAATTGTACTATATCAACTATTTTGAGAAACATTTTAAAAACCTCAATTTTATACCTCAGTAAAGCTGTTTTTTAAAAAAAACCAACCCAATTTAAAGTTGCACTAGGTGTAACAATGCCAAGCCATTGCCATGCCAGAATATTGACACCGTACGATTTGTTGAATAATTTGAAGCCCGGGGTGCTTAGTTGGAAAGGTCAGAACTCATATTTAATTTGCTTTTATGGCACAGACAGCATTATATTGAAGTTGCAAGGTCTTTCAATGACAGAGAACACTTCTCTGTATAATACAGCATCTGTCTCTCTGTCTTGCAGTCTCAGCTGCCTGGAACATGAGTAAGTACAGGCAAGGGCAAAATAGAGTTCAGAGCCAAAAGACTAGGTTAATCTCTAAAGCTTGTACTTGTCTCCTAAAAGAGCCTTTCATATATTTGCATAGGGTCTGTTAACTCTTATATGACACTTTTGACAAACTTAGCTGTGTGATTTCCAAATGAATTAAAAGGTGGAGAAGAGGTGCTGGTAGGGAGAGGCACGCTGACAGCTGTAAGAAGTAACTATAAACATTAGGTCTAATTCAGGGTGTGCAGCAATCTGAAGCAATTTAGCAGGAGTGCTAACCAACTTATAAACACCAATAGCCCCTTGAAGTGTACTTACTTTATAAAAAAATTCAATAGTGTTTTTCCTCAATTCTAGGATGTACAGTAAAACCTTGGATTGCGACTAATGTGGTTTGCAAGTGTTCTGCAAGACGAGCAAACATTTCCAGTACATTTTAATGTGGTTAATGAGTGATGTCTTGCAGTAAGAGTAGTTTGTTTCTGGAACTATGCTCACAAACCAAGGTATTACTGTATATGTATACATTCTTACATCTGAATGTTTCTGAAATCAGATACATCTCAAAAATAGGATACATATTTAATATGGTAGTAGTAATTTTTTTCCATAGAAAAAAAAATCGTTGGTATGTCTTGTAGTCAGTGGCATCTTACCCAAGAGGACAGATGGTAACTGATGTCTGTAATGAAGGAACTTCCTATCAAGGAAGTCCTGTTATTCTGGGTCTTCCCTTAAAAAAGAGGATACTTTAGAAAGATTTCCATTCAAGTTGTTCTGAAGGGGGAAAAAGTGTTTAAAGTTTGCTTAAATTTAGAAAAAAATGCATTTATGTGGAAATCCTTTACTTGAGATAAATCTGATAAATGAGCATTGCTGTGTATGTGGATTTCATTAAGAGGTGGTGACAAGCTCAGTGTCCTGAATTAGGCGATTGGACTTGAATTTTACTCTTACTACATGATGGGCTTATCTTGTAGGTGCCTAAGCCTATGCATCAGCCTGTAGGTTCTTTCTCTGCCCTTCCAAAGGATCCAGTATTGAGAAAAGAAAAACTGCAGGATTTGATGACCCAGATTCAAGGAACTTATAACTTTATGCAAGTATGCGTCATTATTAAATAAATCTTAAATTATATTCACGGGGTTACTAGCTTCTGTTCTGAAGCATTGTATTGAAGCTGTTAAGGGCACAGATTCTGATGTTCAGAAGAAGCACGAGTCCTGGCTCTGCCACTTCCTAGCTATGAGAGTTTGGGCAAGTTGTGTATCTCTCCCTTAGGTGCTTTTGAAAAATTAGGATAATATTTCCTATTCCTGTTTGTTGTAATAAAATGAATTAAGCATGTAAAAAGATTAAAGTGCTCAAATATTATTACTGCTTTAGATCATCAGTTGTTTCCACTCAGATTATGAGAACCTATGCTATGCTTGATATTCTGGTAGGTGCCATTGTGTACAGAATATCAGAAGACAGTTATCGTCTTTAAGGAGTTTTTATTCCAATTGTGCAAGATCATGAACTTGTGTTAAGTCAGAAGCTAAATGTTAAATTGTGCCATACAGACTCTTAACAGAATTTCAGAATAGTGGACTATTACTGAGGGATGAAGTAGATGAAGAAGATATTTTTGTGTAATGAAAAGATTTTGAGCTTCAGAATTAGCCCACATTTAAATCCCACGTCTGCCATTTAACAGCTGTATAATCTGTGGTAAGTTATTCAGCTTCCAACCCTCCACTTATTTATAAAATGAGGGCATTGCTTACCCCTACAGATTATTTGAAGAGAAATAAAAGAACTAAAATGATCACTACAAGTGTGTAGCTTAAGTACTTAAAATGTTGGGAACGTTTTTGGAAGAACTAAGGTAGGCAGATGGGAGAAGAGAATGACATTTCATCATGCAAGTGTTTAATAGCATGAGCTAGTTTAGTGGTTGAAATAATTAGACCTTCTCATTGGTTGGGTATAATAAAAATTACGGTTCAGTGTACTCTAGGATTAATGCTTATGTTTAAGACCTCAAGTCAGGAGTTTGCTTTTCTCAGTTATGCCTTAGGGTTACTATTATAGTTTTAACACTTGACACAACCTTATGATTTGACTGTTATTTTAGGTTTTTTTTTTAAACTCTTAATTTCTGCTTTTTTAAAGACTAAGTTATTAACCTCTTGGGATAGTTATTAGCTAGACTCCTATCTCTAATAAGCTATGGACAACATCATAAATAATGGTAATAGCTTTGAAATGAGTAATCTTTGTTTTTGCTCATTGTCCAAACTCTCGGCTTTAGGAATCGATCCTGGATTTTGACAAACCTTCAAGTGCAATTCCATCGTCACAGCCGCCTTCAGCTGCTCCGGGTAGCCCAGTAGGTGTGTAATCATGCTTATGACTTACAACAAACAGCTGTCTAGCAATTGTTTCTCTTACAAGTGATTTGACTCCAGATAGCTTAAGGGTTAAACTATGTCTATGTGTTAATTTATTCTACATGTATCCATATGTTATCAGAGTTAAATATGGGTAAATTACCATTAGGATAGTAGTGTACTTAACTGACCTGTTTGAGTTTAGAGAAAGTCTCCAGATGGGTGAAAGTTTTTGCAATTTTTATGTTCATGAAGTGAATTCTAGCTAGAACTTGACTCGTTTCAACTCTATAAATTTTGTGTTGAGACTTTTGGATCTTGTCTATGAGTGGAATTACCTCAGCGATGCTTAGTATACCGAGGATCATAGTGATTAATGACTGAGCCTAGATTTGAATCTGGTCTGATACTTCAAACTTAAGCTGTTTGCTCTGTACTAGCTTTATCTCAGGGGTGGGGTGATGTAATCAGTCATAGTCCAGCTGTATACAAGCAGCATATGCCAGCTAGAAGATTATACAGTAATTCCTGGGCGAAGTAAGGAGAATAAAGAGAGTAATTAACAAAAGCAATAGACACTAAGAAGAAGAAACCAAACTGAAACTATGTAATTGAGAAGTATATTAATATACATGTTCAAAGAGGGAAAGAAGAAAAAAAACGGAGACAGATGATCCAGCTAAGACTTACTCTGAAACTTGAAATTTAAGTGTATCAGTTAATTACTATTCATGATAGCTCAGATTTTGTCTTCCAGATTACTATTACTAGTTATTTTTAAAGGTCCTATTTCTGTTCTTTTGGAAGCCTTGAAATGCTGCTTTTGCTTGTTTTACCTTCAAGTGTTATTAGGTATTGCAGATGGAACTGGTATCCTATTCTTCTACAGTCCTCTCTGATTCTTTTTAGAGCTCTAATGGCAAGTTCTTGATGGACTTGAGATTTAGTCGTTGCAGCTACTGCTTTTTTTGTGTGTGTGTGTGAAGTGTAAACTTCATTTCCCACCCAGTTGATATGTATAAATGTTTCTCCTCTTTTAGTAGCTTACTATTGATTTCACTCTCTGCAGCGTCTACAGAACAAAACCTATCCAGTCAAAGTGATTTTCTTCAAGAGCCATTACAGGTAACTTCTCCAAATTAATCTTTCATTTATGCTTCTTTGCTATTCAGGGAAGAAACTCTTGCTTTGGCAAGAATGATCAGACTTAATGATTCTAATATACCTAAGTTATTGAAAATGTTCTAAATGTCTAGTTTTTTAGATTAAGTACAACCAGTCCTCAAAACATTCCCTAACGACCATGGGGAAGACATATTATAATAGAGAAGGCCAGTTGACTTGAGTAAGGAAAGAGTATATCAGCATAGTAAAGGGTCTAAAGAAAGAAACTAATTTAATTTAACCCATCGTTAGCCAGCCCTCCCCTTCCCCCACACACATCATAGTTGACATTCTGAGGAACAAATTTTAACAAAATGCACTTAGAGATATAAAGGGACCAGATCACTGACTGAGCTCTCTAAATGCGACATTGCATTTCCATTAACAGTTAAGTTCAAGGTTTTTTAGTTTTCTAGTCATTACCTTTTAAAAAAACTTTCTTAGGATCTGTCTGAAAACCTTAATGGCAATTTTCTTGACAGTAGCTGCTTTGACAGTAGGTTAAGTATTTTGACCAGGTGGTTCAACAGTTGTTGCCTTCCCTTCCAAAAACTTCTCAGTAAATACTATTTGTTTACAGTGGTTTATATTTAGTTTGATAAGGCGTGGCTCAATTTTCAAAATGTATTTGTTGAGCAAGGTCCTTCACCCCACTCACTGCTATAACTAAAGAGATCCATTTTCTCTGTTCTAGCCATTAGGGTTCTATGTGAGACTTTCAACTGACAAATCAAAATTCTTTTTGAAAAGCCACTGGTCTGGTCTAGTTTATTAGTTCTCAGGGGCAGGCCTGTAGGATGGCTGCATCAGAATCATTTGGTCACTTTAATAAAAAATACATATTCTTAGATATCACCTTAGACCTATTAGATCAGAATTTCTAGGGGTGTTACCGAGTCAACTGTATTTTTAATAAGCTCCCTGGGTGAATTTGCACATCCGTTTTTTGGGAACCATTGGTCTCCAACATCATTTTTACTCCCCAATATGTAAAAGTATCTCCAGCTGGTTTACTTAAAGAGCAATAATTTGGAATGAAGAACTGCCATAATTTCTAAATAAATACTAGTGTAAAGAATGTGTCTTTATCTTTTTTGTTAAGTTAACCTTTTAACTAAAATTCAAGTCTTTAAAGTTTATCAGGTGGCTTGAGTTGCCTTAACTTTGGCATCTGTGAATCTTTCTGTAGCTAGAGAATTAGTTATGTCCCTACAGCAGCCAGTCCTACTTATTTTGGTCATTGTCTTATTATTTTAATGAGAAGGCCAGAAGAAAGGCCTGGTTTTAGAAACAATCCAATCTTATAATAGTGCTAATATTTTGGTCAGATCTAAATTATACCTATATATTTAGTTCTATAAAATCTCCTAAAGGATATCAACAATTGTTTTCCACAAGACCTTTTTTAAATTTGGTCCCCATCTCCTTCCCAAGAAGTGGTATATATCATGATAACCCCTTCTAGAAGATCACTGCAGCGTAACTGGTCAGATATTTGATTACCATTAGTTAGTTTCCAATTCACCTATTACTTGGGCTGCTGAGAACCACATCAAAGCATTTACATAAAAGGAGTGGATTCGCTGATACTTTAGACCTTGTGACTGCTAGATTTTTATGGGTCTTTCTATGTTATAGCTACTACCTGTTATACTATAAAATTCCTGCCCACTCAGTTTTGTATTGATTACAGTTGTAACAGCTTTAGTTCCTACTGTACTTTCTCCAGATTTTTATTTTACAAATATTACTAGCTTTAGTTTTTGGTTAGAGTTTTGGTGCCATTGTGATTTATATAGAGCTTATCCTTTTTTATAACTCTACCTACCTCTTTAAGATACTCAGCACACTTAGAGCGAAAGCATAGCTACTACGATCCCTGGCAGAGCTGTGCGTACGAGTTAAATGTGCCCTGAGCTCATCTTCCACTGAACTGCTACAGAGTGCCAGACTGAAAATCTAGCCCTAGTTTTCCAGGGCCAAGAATCTTGATAAGTGAAAATGGGATTAGATGTGTAGCTTTGGTGGCTCTGCCTGGAAAGGCACTGTAGCTGACTTGGGTTTGAATCTCAGCTCTGCCACTTCATTTTAGAATGATCTCGGGTAAATGACTTTACCTTCCTTTGCCTCTTTCTGATTGTCAGTACAATGGGGATAGCTGAATGTACCTTACAGGGTTCTTATTAGGATTAAGTATGTTAATATGTGTGATGTGTTTAGCATAGTGTTTGTCACTAGTCAGTGCTCACTAAGAGTAGCATATTAGAAAGCCCACAGCCCAAGAAATACCAAGTGAACAAAATGTGCCTTTCACAGTGTTTTATATCTTCCTGTGTCTAGGCTGCTGCTTCTCCAGTTACTTGTAGCTCAAATGCTTGCTTGGTAACAGCCGATCAGGGTTCCTCAGGATCTGACACAGAGTTTATGACCTCAAAGACTCTTGAGGTAATAAGAGACCATTTGTCTTAATTTCTTTTCATCTTAAAGAATAGCAGAATCAGCTTATCTTATGAATTACAGGCATGATCAGTTGAATGATTTATTTATACTTACTGATTAATGTATTGCTTTCTGTAGATGTGATCCTGGAACTCATACGGGTAACTTTATTGTGACTTTGCTATAATAAAAATAGGCTTAATAGTATATTGCCTTATCAGATACAATAAATATGTCCAAATTGCTAATGTCAAAAAAAATGAAAAGTTCTAGGTAGGATTAGGTCAAGTTTCTCACTATAAGAATTCTTTTTTAAGATTTTTATTGGGGAATTGAGGGGATGGGAACAGCGCTAGGGAATTGGGGGAAGGGGAACAGACAAGTTGCTGTTGTTTTGTTCTTCAGTCTAGTTGTGGAGGACGTTGCTTCACTGGCCCAAGTTGGCAC